TATCTTCGGGTTAATCAGAATTAGTGACCATGTTTAAGCGAATAAATGGTACAAACGTCCATCGAAAAACCACTGGGAGACTTGACCGATATGTGGTCAAATTCGATCGTTATGGTTCCCCTTTCTTCTATCTTTCTCGTGAAAACAGCTGTTGATTTCGTGATGCCGTTGGACACTTGTGGGCCTTCGTCAGTTTAAAGTCCTCTTTTATTATCTTGTTAATGGTACATCTTAGTCACAACTACGGTTGTTTGAGTCAGAAGGTTCTTTTTCCCACCTATCTCCTTCACTCTATGAATGACAAATTGCTTCAAACTGGTTTTAGAGTTTATTGGTCTCTTAAATGCCATGCTGTGCGAGTTTTTTACTTCAATTGAAAACACTCAAATTTCTTTCTTAAAAACATTGCATTATTTGACTCTACACTGTTCAATAAATAATCTTGCTTTGCGAAAATCCTTCACAGGAAAGAGCCTTTGAAATATTCCTCTAACTACAAGTCAATCACTAACATCATTGAACTGTCGAATGGTCGGAAATTCGTCTTGAGCCAACAAATATTAAGGTATTTAATATGTTGCTCGTGATGCTACAGCGACACGTCACTGTGTTAGCACATATAAATCATCCAAGTAAAGTTCGATAAATATTCCCCTCAGTGGCACAGCGGTATGTCTACGGACTTATAACACTAGAAACCGAGTTTCGATACCAGTGTTGGGCAGAGCACAGACAGCCCATTGTGTAGCTTTGTGCTTAACTTCAAACAAACAAACAAAAATCGATAAATAAATTGTATATGGTATTCTACAAATTGAAGTATTTTGTATTTAGTCTCCAAGTTCAAATTTTCATAGGAGTGCATCTTAATAACAATATTTCACCTACACACTCTCAAAACTCAAGTATTTACAGGAGTGCTATTTAATGTTTTAATTACCCACCTCATTGAAATTTTGATATCCGTGATATATTGGTTAGAGCTTCTTTTCCACATATTCTCAAAGTTGAAGTGTTGAATTAGCGTTACATTAATGATAATTTTCTCACTTTATGTGTTGCTGTAGCGCTAAACTGAGAGCTTATCTTCCAAGTTCTACTTCGTAGATAAAATATCTTGATAAATAAATGTAACAGCCGATAAATGTTTACAGACGATAACAGTATCCCAGTTTGGTTTATTTCTACAACAAAGATTGTATGTATATATGTATAGTTGAAGGTCTAATTTCGTAAAACTTGGACACTGTTTAAAAACTTTTCATAGACAATGAGAAATCATATATCCAGAACTGGAGAACAGCCAAACCCATAACTTCTGTATAGTTTTTCTTTGGTAGACCTCAGTCTTGATGATCTCTATTGGATTCATCAAATTCATGTTTCGATCGTTAATCTTTTTACTAATGTTAAGCAACTGATTAATTTAGTACGTAAAAAAGTTGGGTAGTAATTTATACAGGTTACATTTACTAAACTGCTAATAGATAACACACTCTTTCTAGTGAATATCTCCTTGATTAAATATGATCGTGAATTATCTAGAAACACGTTTTAAAATCACCTGGCGTAAGTCAGGAGAAATTATAAATATTTTTTTTCTATACATATGTAGTACATCTCGCAGTATTTGTGCCAACGTACTCTTCAAAAACAGTATTACAACATTAAATGTATGGTTACATTTTGAGCAATATATTCAAGTGAATACCCAAGAATTTAATTCAAAGTTACATTAAGAAAATTAACTGTAGAGCTTCACGGAGGTATTTTTTTCGATAAATCTTAATTTTTAACGGCAAAACGTTACTTTAGTTTAGTCTGTTAAGATGTTATGATCTGTAATAAAGTTAACGTAAGCTGCAGTATTGTTTTTTTTTTTGTTTTTTATTTCACATGCATCTTAATTTGTTTATTTCTAATTCATAATCAGTGTTGCGTAAAAATGCCATTTCATATTTATCCTTCCGTTCAATAGCAGAACTATTCAGTTGGGCTGGGCGATGAGAAACAGAACATTTTTTCTCTCTTGCTGGCGGACTATCAGAGAGTTGCAGTCCCTCTTCGTCCAAGAAATCTGATGAAAGTAAAGATGGATAGAGTATAACGAAGTAATAAGTAAGTGTAAGTCATTGTAAGTGTATCAATTCACGAACATTCACATGATAAAGTTATGATTTGGAAAGGAAGTTTTGTTTTTCAAAGGCAAAAAAAAAAAAAAAATACGGAGAAAAGTAGAAATAACATTTGACATCGAGATATCCAGATGGTTAGGATTACAGACTGGAAGTGGCATAACATACATGTATAAAGAATGTTCAACTGGTGGCAAGAGCTTCTTTGGAGGATGAGCTTTCTGGGTGAGGATATAAGAAAATATTACGTTCTGACAGAGAAAACATCGGTAAACATATTTGGTGCGAAGTATGTATAGATGTAAAAGTATAGGAAACTAATTTTAAACATTTGACGAAATAACAATGATATTGTCAGCTTGTTTGTTTTAAGTTAATCACAAAGCTACACAATGGGCTATCTGTGCTCTGCCCACCACGGGTATCAAAACCCGGATTCTAGCGTTGTAAGTCCGCAGACATACAGCTGTGCTAATGGGGGGGGGGCGATATTGTCAGTATTCCAAAATATACTAAAATACTCTCTGATTTTTACAACTGTCATCATTATAGCACCATGATACTTAGTGATTTTATAACCGTTGCTATAATAACAATAATATTATAAGCATTACAGCATCATGATACACACTTATTATACACACGTTACTAAAATAACGATATTGTCACAGTTACGGCACCATAATATTCTGTGATGTTACAATCATTACTGAAATAACAATAGTATTGTAAGTATGGCAACGCTACAGTATTTTGTAATTTTACAACTCTTCCTGAAAATACAACAATATTGTCAGTATGACAGCGGTACAGAATTCTGGTTCTACAACTATTCAGTATGACAGCGCTACAGTATTCATTATACACCACCTACAGAAATAAGATAATATTTTCAGCGTGAAATTGCAACAGTATTCTGTAATTTTATATCACTGCTGATTTTTCCAGTTGCAGGATAATTGTTTTCAATATGTGAGTGAATATTTTTTCTTGTTCGGATTTTTACTTAAAAACTTTAATTTTTGGTCAGTAGCTCATATCCGGGTTAATTTTTTATTAATTAATTCTGCTATATCTCATGATTGAACTTCCAAATGAATACCATTTCCTCATTACCATAACCAGAATCAATAGGATCTGGATATTTTGGTACCGCACAATGTTACCAGGACAACTTGTGACGGGTGCATTCTTGTTACATCATTTTTGTGACATGAAAGTTTTTGTTACGAATATGATTTTGTGACAGGTAAGTTTTTAAATATAAAATTGGTTGGTGACAATAATAAAACATGATAATAGATCCTAAATTGTATAATCCTTTGGAGACTATTCAAAAATTACATAACACTATGGAGTGAGAGAGTGTCTAAGCCTGTATTACGACGTGTTACGTGGGGTTGGGGTGTCATGAACAGTGTTACATAAAAAAATAAATTTGGACTTTTTGTTACGAAAAACATTTCGTTACGACATCCAAGTTACCGTCATTTCGTTATATATATATTTTTTATGATTTGTGAATTTTGATACTAGATTCACCAGTATGATACATATATTATGTTTGCAAATGTTCAACTTATTAAAGGCGTTTTTAATTCAAATAAAACTATATCAAAGTACAATAAATGTTTTTGTAGACCTGTTAACGAAATGTCCCAAACTGGAATCAATATTCTACCGAGATCAAACGCAGGTTTCGAGCTGTAACTTCCAGTTATATATATATATATGTGTGTGTGTGTTTGTGTGTGTGTGTGTGTGTGTTTGTGTGTGTGAGTGAGTGAGTGAAAGAGGACAAAAACAACGGAAGCCATGACCTCGGTATCCCTAAAGCTAGTTATGACCCTGCATTCGCTGCTTCAGAGCATCCAAAGCTTAACCTTAACTTCAGTAACATAACTGATTATCTGACTTCTGTTATTATCTAATTTATTGAAACTGCAGTTTAGGGGTTCGCTCTGTCATCTTAACGTGGTTTATATCTGTAATCAATCCTATCCAAACATATGCTCTCTTTTTTTTTGTTTAATGGCCTCATAAGAAAAATTCAGACTTATGAAGACCTTCCTTTTCATTTATATATAATCTCAACCTGATATAATGGATCGATAGTTTTATTATGCGTCATACACACACACATTTATATATATATATGTATACATATTAATATACTGAAAACACAGATGTTTTTCGCGTACGCATGTATATCTTTGGTATTAGATATTTTCGTTTTTTGTTATATTTTAATCATTAAACTTTTCTCTTTCCATAGTTGTATATTTCGAATAATTCGCTCTCTCTTATTATAACGATATTGCATTTTTTGATAGCTCACTCAGTCTTAACAGCATAAAAACACACAACATCAATATTTTACTCTGTGACATCGTGCTGTTTTAGATTATTGTTATCCGTCACCTGCATACTTTGTGAAATAAATGGGAATGTCTGGATACAACATCAGCTGTCGCAATCAGCTACACGAGTCTACTTTCATCTTGCACCTGCTGAGTCGAGTGTTAATATTTTTCACGCTTTCTCTATCACCAGGAATTTCTGTCGGTTTCAGCTGTAGCACCTGGTGTTTTGAATCATGCAAGGCAAGACTCACTTGCTACTTATTGAAGGCAAGTTTTTCCCGCAACTTGTAATGTACTAACTAGCTGAAATAGCTCATTTTGGAGGCCACCATAGTCACAAAGTCAAATGATTATATTTATCGAAACCAAACAATAGGAAAACTGCCAACATCAAGTTAGAATATTCTTTCAGCCTATTTCTGTGTTCTGCTCCGTGAGGCTACCCATCACGCTCACGTGACCATCTGCAAGGCTATGAGGGGACCTAGTTGCCGGGATTTCCTGTATGTTTGTCATTCGTTGTTTAGTGAAGAGCGCGGTGGACGTGGGGGTAACGTGGCTAAGAAGAAGTGAAAGAAGAGTGAAATAGTTCAATATAAGACATATTCTGATGATTAACTAACTCTAAAACTCAAGGAACCGCTAGCCATAACGTCGAAGGAGCTCTAACTGAGAGGTAAGGATTATCATTTTGATGCTATTGTCGACAGAAAAGTTCGACAACCCTACAAATTAGACCAAGAACAAAACGCGCTCCCTGCAACACGTCTAACCCAGCTTACTGCACGTGCACAGTGCGAGCCGAAACACAGTGAACCAGTATGTTTTCTAACTTCTTTAAAAAAAAAAAAAGTTTTTCCTCCATATTAAAATTCTGTACTATACCAAACACACACCATGGCTTCCATGCATAACTTGCATTTTTGGAAAATGCCTTCAACATCTAGATGAAATGAGGATGGTTTGTAAAGTGTACATGGATATGATGTCTTCTTCTTATTTATTTTCAATATTTTTCCACCTCACTTCACATCATAATTTTGATGGTAGTATTTTCTGCTGCTTTTTGACTAAGAAACCCAAATTAATCTTTGTCGAAATGTAATTGTTATATTTATTAATTTCCGGTTAATTATGAAAGCAGGCAAAGCATTAAAAAGCAATAGGCTTAAAGTTTGTAATGTGAATCACGTTAACTGCATGTTTTTTGTTTTTTTTTGTTTACATACCTCTTAATTTGTCCCTTTCTAATTCAAAGTCAGAGGCGTGTAATTCACATCAATCTTTTGTTTCCTACACTCACTGCTGTTTCACACGACCATGATGTTACATCCGCAATGGACAAATTAAGAAGGATTTGGGGAAAGAAAACACCCGCAGTTAACATGATTTTTACCACAAACTGCAGGCCTATTGATTTTTAATAATTCGCCAGCTTTTGGCTTTTAAACCATATATATTTAATTTTATTATAATGCATATATGAATAGCGTTTAGGAGAGCCTTTTGTTTCTCATCGTACAGCCCAACTGACGAGTTTTGATATTGTATGAAAGACTTCTTGGGTGACTTGTGGGAAGGAAAAAATAGATCGGAAACGGTATTTTTACACACATGTAATTTTGAATCCACAATGGAAAGTTAAGAGGAATGTTGAAAAAAATACCCCCAGTAACGTAATCTTTGTCACATATTTTAGGCCTATTTTATGTTCATTAATCTTTATAAAGCTAAATAGCACAACACCAGCCATGTTTGTAACAGTTTCTTGGGTTCTTTTGAATTATACGATAAATAAAAATAATAATGCTAAATTCTGTTCAATTAGTGATGAAAAAAGTTTTATTTCTCATACTTAAACTTCTTCAGTTAGCATAACTAACGTTAACTGATAGGCTTAAATTTACCGTAAACACTGACTCGACAGTTTCAATGGTTCTGCCTAATCATCGAAAGGAAGGGAAAACAAAACATTTTTACTCAAAAACTAAACAATTTCTTAGCTAGCAACTAAAAAAATTAATTTGGTTGTTTGTAGTTAAGCATAAAGCTATATGATGGGCTATTTGGGCTGTATCGAAAACGGGTTATTAGCGGTATAAGCTTTCAGACTTGACACTGGCGGAGGGAGGTGGCATAAAATATTGTTACGACAGCGGAAGTCACGCGACGCTGGAAGCATGTGCGCTGGAGATTCTAGAAGGATCATGCCTCTTCCTGGCAATTCTAGTCTTTTCTACGCGCCCTCTATTTTAGTATATAAGCAGGCAATTAAAGCGAGATAATTAATTGAATTGCAGACAGGCAGAGATAGAGACGGACAATTGA